ATCGTTTAGACACGAAGAGGCTCGTTATCGAGTAATAAAAATAAACTAACCAACCAAATTAAAGCAGGTAGACACAGTAAAAGTAATATTGCGGTCCCGGATGCTGGGTGGCGATCCACTACACTTACCCAATTTGACATAATCTTAATAGATCAAACTACTAGTTTGTTGAATACTAAATATATAAGCTAACCTATAAATAATGAAAAATATTGTAAACAACGGCAACATGAAGAATATGCTTACCTAGATTAAGGCTAGCAAAATTCCATTCACGTAAATACGCTTAGATAAATAATTTCGACAATTTTAACTTGATGGCTCAGTAATTTCATAAGATTTTAACATCTTTCGCAAAGTCAGTACCTTCCATTGCTACCACAAAAGCCGAAGTGACATTTCGTCAATCACAATGGCACCAACTCTATTAACACAATGAAAGCGCATTCAGTCAGACATTTCTATGGGTACATTCAATGAGAAACGGAACATTACAAAATTGGCGTCACTATTTAAAAATAACCCGACAACTCCGTTTAATTTGCATTCTTCCCATTTAAGCAAAAACGACATCTTCTAATAAACATCAACGTCGTTGTTGCCGACGGCACCCGAAATTCCATCTACGCCGCCAGAACTGATAAAACACCTGCAAGGCTTATCTCGCACGTGACATTGATTGTTGAAAAACCAATTAATTCTTGTCCGATTGTTTGTCTATTGGAAATAAAAAAAATTGTATCTCCTTAATTATGTTACATAGAGGATGTCCTGACTACTGTTTCCCATATTCAGAAAACACGTATTTTTGCACTACACGGTGGCTCGCTCTCATCTTCGGCATTGTTTCAACTTACAGAAACGACACACCCATTTTTACACGACAACAAGATGTGAAAAATGTAAATTGCAAGACACATCCGAAGGATGCAAAATTAAACTAAAAGTTCCCGATGCCCTTTTTGTTTTTGAACTTTAACGCGTACGAAGTAAAACAATAGCGGCCGGGATTTATAGCCTCGCTAATTGAATAACCGAAATAGAATTATAATTATTTGTGGACAATGCGAGTTAGTGGTAGTAGCAAAAGGCATAGTTTGAAGTCGAAATCGATATTCAAATTGAAAGGCTGCAGGCGACGTTCCCATTATCAAATTAGCCATATCCCACGTATCCCGATGGGAAACTATTGCCAGAATACGATCCGCTTGACAACGCTCCTAAATCATTAACCGCTTAAACATTCTCTCACTTATTATTAAGCTCCGCGACTCCCGGCATGAATTATGCTTCCATTATCCGAGATATCATATTTGTTTCCCGTTCGAATAACACACTCGAATTCGAGCCGGTTGTGTTCACCATTACACCTGATAATAGAGAGTTATGTACTACATCCAGTTCCCTATTTACAATGGAACAAAGTAAATAAAAGTATATCTAGTCTGTCCGTTCATCTGCGCATTCGAGATGTACCACGCAAATAAATTTGCAGTCATTACTCTTTACCTCCAAAGTTATTGAATGGTTCAGTAAAACTAGCCCTAATGATTGTGAAATACGAGGGCGTAGAAGGGTCAACTTGTTTGGTCGAAGGTGGCAATCGAGTTAACCGTAGTCAATGAGAAAAGTACTCCGAAGACGAACAGATTTTTAAGACTTGGAAGAGATTTTGAAGAGATTTTGGGAAGATTTTGAAGAGAATTTGGAAAGATTCTGTAGAGACTGAAGAGATTCTGAAGAGATTTTGAAGAGATTTTGAAGAGATTTTGAAGAGATTTTGAAGAGATTTTGATCAGATTTTGAAGAAACTTTGAAGACATTTTGAAGATAGATTTTTTGAATAGATTGTGAAGAGATTTCGAAGGGTGGAAAAGTTCTGAAGAGACTTTGAAGAGATTTTGAAGGGATTTTGAAAAATTTTTGAAAATAGAATTTTTGAAGAGATTTTGACGAGAGTTTTACAGAGATTTTGAAGAGATTTTGTAAATATTCTGGAGAAATGTTTGACGAGATTTTGAAGAGATTTTGGGAAGATTTTGAAGAGATTTTGGAAAGATTTGGAATAGATTTTGGAAAAATTTTGGAGACTGAAGAGATTTTGGAAAGATTCTGCAGAAACTTTGAATAGATCTTGGAAGTACAGATATTCTTTTGTTCAGGAATTTAACTACTAATTTCACGTTTATAAGAGTTGTGCTTCTTTTTTTTTTATTTATTTTTCATAAAATGAATAGGGCAACAACCCCTCAGGCGGTCATAATGATGACCATGAGTATGTCTCGTACATTAATTTTCATTTCTATTATATATACTTATGCTGTAGTTTATATTAATAAAGACTATTATTATTATTATCATTATTATAGACTATTATTATTATTATTATTATAGATCTTGAAAAGATTCTGAAGAGACTTTGAAGAGATTTTGAAGATATTTTGAAGAGATTTTGAAGAGATTTTGAAGGGATTTTGAAGAAATTTTGGAAATAGATTTTTTGAAGGGATTTTACAGAGATTTTGAAGAGATTTTGCAAAGATTCTGAAAAGACTTTGAAAAGATTTTGAAGAAACTTTGAAGATAGATCTTTGTAAGAGATTTTTAAGAGATTCTGGGAAGATTGAATAGATTTTGAAAAGATTCTGTAGAGACTTTGAAGAGATTTTGAAGAGATTTTGAAGAGGTTTTGACGAAATTTTGAAGAGATTTTGAAGAGATTTTGAAGGGATTTTGACGGGATTTTGAAGAGATTTTGACGAGGATTTGAAGATATTTTGAAGAAATTTTGAAGAGATTTTGGAAAGATTCTGGAGACCTTGAAGAGATTTTGATTAATTATGCAAAATATACTTGTTTTTTGAATAAGTAATGCAACTGTTAAAAAATTGTATGAATATTAAAAACGATGCATGATAAAACAAAACGCTTTTCAAGAGAACTTGTTTTTTTATTGAAGAAAGGAGCTGGGAGTTACCGAGAAGGAAGGATGTAAGCCAAGAATTAACTAACGTTATTATCTATTTCTTTTAGTTTTTGGTTTTGATAAAGGAAGCATGGATTTTGTGGTCATCAGGTGCTGGCAAAATTGACTTCTCATTTAAAACATGAAATTTGCCTCTTCCTTTTTGTTTTGAAATAATAAAGTAAACAAATTGAGTATACTGATTGAGTTCAAAACCGAATGCCCTACCACTGTCTCGCCTTGACGCGTCCTTGCTCTTTTCCAATCTCCCAAAACCCGCCTACAAAATGGTGATAATTGTTTAAAACGGTCACTATTAATCGCGAACCAATCTAATTCGTTTCAATATTTTCGTTCGGCCTGGATAATTCCTTGGTACTCTGCTATGTCTGCCCCTGAGACTTTGCCTTCCCTCTCTCCTTCGTACTCACTTTTCTTATTTTCATGTCCTGTTAAGGCTTGATCTACTGGCGATTAGAGCGTTGCTCTAATAGCCTGCTTCCTGGCCTCTACACATATTTTCCTCTCCGTGCCCACTTCTTGATCCCACCAGTATGTTTCTGGATTTTTAACCCCGTTCCTAACCCTTGGCATCACCTCGCCTGCCCACTCGATTGCAGCTCGGACGGCGTACGTAGTAAGTGTGTTTTCTTCTCCAGAATCCCCCTCAACTTTTCCACGTTTTCCTCTTTCTATCATCCCATGTGGCCTTCCTGCTGGCTGTTGGGAGTCCTTTCCAGAAGTTGCGTCCTGCTGTCTACCGTCCAGGTAAATAATGGTGGTGAGAGACCTTCTTCCTCCACCTTTCAGTTAGCGATTTGGCTTGCTATGTTTGAGCCGGCGAAGGGTACATCTGTGATTGAGGTACGTCCTTCTTTTTCCTGGTTTGAGTTACCGAATTGGCGACTTGTTCTACCTCATTCTCGAATTTTGAGCACGACACATCCAGAGGATGTGACCCTATAGCTCGCACATATAGCATTTTTGTTGTTGTTATTTTGGCATTTGTCTAGGAAATGTCCTGCTTCTTCGCAGTTGAAGCAACCATTCTCCCCGGGTGCACCTTCTCTGCATATGCTACCCTCTCCCTGGATCTCCGTTCTTACACTTAATTTTATGTACCCTCTTGTTCAAACTGTAGGGCGCTATTCCCAGCCAAATACGATGTCCTTCCGCCGCCTTGAAGGGTTTAATTTCTGCCTTTGCCGTTCCCTTCAGGACTCTCTGCACCGCCTCCCCACATCTTTGTCTTGCTAAGCAGCTCTGAGATGGAAATCCCTCCCACCACCATCTACTCTGACGGTCGCGTTTGGCATGCCCTCAGGCATTATTATCATCTTCCTTTTTGGCGTACCTTTACCTCCGTGGTCGCTTTAGATCTCCCTTCCTCCTCGGACCAGCTGAGTGCAACTTGCACATCTTTGTAAAAGCACACCAGAATTTCTGAAAGTCTTCTAGAAATTATTTCAACAATTTTAGAAGGACTTTAAGAGAACATGTGATAAATTTCTTGTAACGGTAGCTCTGAATTTGGATTCATTTTTTTGGATTTTATAGGGAAAGGTAAATTCGCTACATATCTTCCTTCCTCCCCAGACCAGCTAAACGAAACACAAAATTGGTTGCTCTGAATGCATTGTTGTGTCGCTCTTTAGGTTGAAACATGCCGAAAATGAGAGCAAGGATTTTGTACAACAAAATTACGTTATATCGGTCTGAACACGAAATAATAGCCACGACAGCCTGAATGTAACATAATTAAAGTTATTTTTCATAAGATCTGGGGATTTTGTTGAAATAGATAGGGAATTATAAACCGATTACTGGGGTACATTAAAGCGAAATTTTTAGGCGACTGCAAAGATTTATCTGGTCAGGAAAACTGTTATCGGAAAAGAATTAATTGGTTTTTCGACTAACAATGTTACGTGCGAGATAAGCGATGGAGGTGTTCTGGCGAGGAATCTCGAGTGCCGTCGGGTTAATAACGATATTGAGTTTGTTAGCGGAAGGGGGTGTTGCTTAAGTAAGAAAAATGAAGAGTAAACGATGGTAATTTCCGTTTATGTGTCAATTAAAATCCCAATTTGAACTCCAGGTAGAGTTTCAGTCTTCTATCAGATTTTTCATTGGAATTTACGGATTTTGAATAAGGACATCGACTCTTGCAAGTTTATAAGAGTTTTAAGTGAACGTTGAGATTTTCTTGTGGTGTCAGAACCCAGTTGTGCCCTGAGAGAAAATTTAAAAAAGAAAAAAAATTGGGCAATTGTCTGTTGGGTGTTATAATGACCGACAGCGGAATATTAAATTAGAATAACGAACCACGTTCTTAATTATACGAAAGATAAGATAATTACTTTTCTAAAATTACTCCGCCAACGTCAGAATTCAAAACCTCGAAGACGGAGCAAAGTCGGATTTCGAAATTTCCAGCATCTGAAATAATTTCAAAATAAATTAGCTCTTCCTTCGCTTGTTTCGATTTATACTCTAACGAAATTTTATAAATGGCTTTTAAACATAAGAATTCAATTTCATTAGTAACCGGCGAACGAGTACCGATATCTCCAAAAATAAGCTTACAGTGACGCAATCTAAATCACCGAACCAGCAAACGAAGTAATTACTTTTATTTTTTTCCCTTCTATCTTTCCACCCCTATCCCATTAAATGATAAATGATAACAATTAAATTGCAAAATTCGATTTAATGGCACGTATAGCGGCAACACGTTTGATTAAATTTTGAAGCTACGCTTCCACGAGCGCAATTTTAATATGATCGCGGGCCCTTTTCTAATTGAGATTATTACTTACAGGATTCGGCAGGAGAAGAACGGCGGAGCGTGGTGCCCGAAGGCGCAGATCAGCAGCGAAATACGCGAATATCTGGAGGTCGATTTGCAAAAGAATCACCTCGTTACGTGGACAGAAACTCAAGGGAGATTCGGTAACGGTCAGGGGCAGGAGTACGCCGAGGCCTTTCTGGTCGAATATTGGAGACCTTCGATAAATCAGTGGGTCGTATATAAGGATTCTCGGGGCGAAAAGGTAAGAGACAATTATTGCACCAGCTCCGCTTTACTTACATGAATATACTTGTATCAGTTTTGGTCGAATGCATTCACTGTACCGTGGAAATTGCATAATAAATCATTCACATGCGGGGTTGTGGTGGATCTAAGTGGTCTGGGCAAGAACCCTCTAAAGAGTCACCCTTAAAATAATTATGATGTGCGTAATTTTTTGATCTGTGCACTTTGAATAATTATAGTGGGTAATTATTAGGCTTTCATGCACGAAAAATATTGCGAGAGGAGTTCCGCAAGGCAGTTCTGTGGGCCCAATATCATTTTATGACGTTTAAGCTAACGAATCGGGTGAAAGCGCCATTATAATCATTTAACTTTTGAAACAAACGAGACCAAGATTAATTGTGTTTTTAATTAAAAGCTCCATTTTGCGACCCCAAAAAAAGGGCCATTAAAGCTGCTCGGAAACTTCTGTCAAGTATCTGTAGAAAATTGTATGAAATTTCTGAAAAATTCCATTGACATTTTCATTAAATTTCCCTGAAATATTATGGTGACAGCTTTGAAACTTCCCTAACCTTCCCCTTAGTTTTCCTCATATGTGAAGGAAGACTCAAACAAATCTTAAAAAAAATACTAAGTTCCGAGCAGCTTCAAGGAACCTTGGCATCATGGGGGTCTAAAAGAAATTCCAAAAATATCCTGCGAAATTTTAAGCAAATATCAAAAAAATCAAAAAATGTTCAGGAGAGTTACAAGGAAATTTTCCGAGGTTTACTTGGACGTTTGTAAAATGTTCAAGGTAAAAAAGAAATGGATTTTGGGGAAGTTTCAAAGAAAAGTCAACGAAGTTTCACGATTATCAGGAAGTAGAAACGCATGGCAGGTTCTCAGTAAATCAAAAATGTCAAAAATGTCCAGGGAGCTTCTAAGCTTCTAAGGAGAATTTTATGGAAGCGTCAAGGATATGTCAAGGAAGTTTCACATACATTTTAAACAACTTTTAGGAAACTACTGAAATTTCGCAGGGAGTTCGAAAGGAATTTCAGGAACATCGGGTTTTCAGTAGGTAAATATAAAGAAAAATCAGAAAGTTTTGAGGAAGCTTCCATACTCTACAAACTTATAACCGATTGTGTAATGAAATAACTGATACCAGAATTTCTGTAAGCTTTCCAAGATTTATTTCCACAATTTTAGAAAGACCTTAAGGAGAACATTCGAAAAATGTCTTGTAACGGTAGCTCTAAATTTGGAGGTCAAGGGCTAGATACATATATCATAAAAAAAATACAGTGTGTCGAAATGGATAGAGCCGATTGTCCAATCCATTTTGTGGCTAGTAGAATTTTAAGACTAAATATGTAATTTGGTGAGATTGACAATTGTCTTCCCTACGTAGTTAAATTCTATGGAGAATTATTGTCTTAATAACTTTTGGAGGCACCGCACTAACTAGAGCTAAAGTTGGTATCTTAATTGGCCACAAACCAATGCTTAATCGTGAGGTCATTCGCTAATGTGTGTAATGCAGAATTGAGATATCGTGCCTCAGTTTTTATTTCATTGCCAGTGCACAAATGAAGGAAACGAGTGGCCGTGTGTCAGTGATAAGAAGCCATTTTGTGGGCGGTGGCCACTGAGAAAAATAATAGCAGGGATCCTCACGGTGGGATTTTCGAGATGCATTCAGTCGTGGGCAACGAGATAGTTATTAGTTTTACTTCGATCCACCACGCGAGATTAGTTCAGGTTTTGGGTTACCAGAGTAGGGTACGTAGGTATTAAAAAAGTGTAAACTCGTTTTAGAGAGCTCCGGGCTTAAAAACCAGTGATGTTTACGGGAATTTTGTTTTTTTATTGGAGTTCGTTTGTTAGCGCTAAAAGCAAAAATATTTGAAGTAAATGAATTCTTACGTGTCAGTATCATCCACGCCAAAAAATTCGGATTATCTCAAAATGAAGAGGAAGTAATAAACAGTTAACGAAATAGTAGAAGTAAAACGCGTTCCGTGAGGATAATAAAAGTGTTAAGGACAATCTAATTAAGCTCGCCAGGTATTTTAATTACCGTAGATCTTCGTAGTAGTAATAAAAAGTGTAAAATTTGTATATAGTGAAAACTTTTACTGCTTGGGACAACATAAAACATTTTTCGTAGCACTCATGAACACCAAACCGATAAAAAACTACACACACAGAAAACATTTGCATCATTTGAAAATTCATTTAGAAAGACTTTAAGGGAGTTTTCGAAATCTGTCTTGTAACGGTAGTTCAAAATTTGGATTGAATAGGTAAAGTTAAAATTTTTGAGATTCAAGGGCTAGAGTAGGTTAGAATATAGAATATAGAAAAGTTACCGGGTGTTGAAATTATGGGGCAAAATAGCTATAAGCTAATAAGATTTTAAGAATAAATCTGTAATTGAAGATTGTTCTTTCTACGTCTTCTAATTTCTATAGAGCATTGTTTTTATAATAGATTCCGGGTATCATGATTGGCCTCGTCTTCACTTTCAAGAAACGAAATAAAATTACCATAAGCACAAGGTAAGCTCGGGCAAAGTAGTGGTGGGTCGGGGTGAATAACGGGGTTCTTGTAGACTGGCAAAAACAAAGCAAAGGGGAATGTAGTAAAAATAAACCGAATAGGCGCCACTTAGTCTTTAGTAAATTGAAAAAGAGAAAGGAGAATACTTACCGAAAGAGGGAAACAAAGCAGACTAGGGGATCCTTGTTTTGGTCTTGATAAGCTAAAGGGATAAAACAATTGATAAAGGTAGGATAAACGAGAATTGATGTCACAATCGAGGGTAATTTAATAAATGCTCTCAAATTAATACAAATAGACAAATAGACACTGTAATATCTAGATCTGAAATATTTTTATTTTATTTATTTTATTGCCATTATTTTTTTTATTGTGGGCGGAGTGTTAGCAATTAGCTACTCTTCCCACTCAACCCACTATACAATCACAAAGAGCCATGCCTTACCTGGGATTCGAACCCAGGACCCTTGTGGCCAAAGTTCGAGCTACTAACGTAAACTCATCGAGCTAAGCAGGTGTCAAAATTTAAATTAAAATCAATTTTTCGCAAAAAGGGTGGGGGGGGGGGGATGAACTCCGCTTCCGCAGAAAACAACGGAGGTATAATTGTTAAATGACTATTCAAACAAAGGTGGTAATTAAAATTCGATTGTATCAAAAACCAGCATGTAATCAAACGTTATATCAAGGAGTCGACGAAAATTAAAAAAAAATTAATTTTTTAACCACAGGTCGCAACCTTGTCTGACTTATCTGACAGATAACAACACAAACAAGCAAACAAGAGCAGTTGTGAATAACTCGGCTATATAAATCAAGTAAAAAGTAATGTATTGCGAAAAATGTACACGCAACCATTGTGTGTGAACGCCAGATTGTCTTTGCACGAAAAGAATACATATAACTGTACGCAAGAGCAAATTAAAAAAGGGATGGGTATAGAAGTATGATGGAAAACATCTGCATGACCTCTGGCGGGAAAACAAAGAACTATTTTCAATTAAACCAATGACACGCAGATGACCTCTAGCGGTGAAATTAAAGAACTAAGGTAATTATCAATCTACTACAGAAATAACTTGCATTTTAACTAAACGGGTTTACAAAGGAAATACCTAGATGGCGTAAAAATTTAGATGACAGTGTAAATCGAAGAGTTACTGAAGCGGAATTTAAATTGTTAATGAAAAAAACTTGACTGAAACTGGTTTTGAAGTGAAAAGGAACTGAAATTTAAATTTTTAAATTACATTGAAACCATGTTAATTACTTTTAGAAGGAGATTTCTTAATTATTATTTCTAATTTCAAAACATCAAAAACAAAGAGTCGATTTATACTAACCTATTTTCTGAAATAGAAATTGTATTTTTTGGGAATTTATTTTTGCCATCTACGGTAACTTTGAAGGGCGCTTTAATTAACCCCTCAAAGGATAACAATTAAATCTTTGTCTTTTTCGTAACATTTAACGTTTCGTTTCTAAAGGAAGCAGCTTCTTTAGACGTAATTTTATTACACTCCTGCAAAACCGAAAGAGGAATAATTAAACCTTTAACTAAAACAGATCCTCTTAGAAAACTGAAATTAATGTTTGTTCTTCTACCAACTACTACCCTGCGATACAATGGCAGAAAAAGTGTATTTCGAAAATTAATTTCGTCGCGCAATAAAGCGACAATAACGGAGAAAGCAATTTTAATATTTCTGGAAAGTCAATTTTCGCACGGGGCATATGACAGAATGTCTGTTAACAAAAGCCGTTTCTACAATTTTATGCTCATAGCAGGTAGTTTATCTACGACTTCAAAAGTTATGTTCGAGCGTAGAATGATTTAGGGGTGGTATTTTTGAGAGGCGTAGGATGAGATACGTGTAACGTTTGCAGTTACATAAGTTTTATCGAAGTTACTTCGTTCACAAGTTTTACAAATATCTGAAGTGCTCGATTTATTCGGGACTCCGTTTTCATAAATACAGCTGCATTAAGCTTCTGTTATCGCATCGAACTATAGTTTTACCCGTTTGTTGGAACTAATTCAGTAAGTTAAAACCATATTGCATTTTTAAAATCATATTTTGTAAGGAACTAACATGGTTTTGGACCTAAATGGGAGAAGCTTCAGAACTAAAAATTAAATCAAGTATTTTACCACGAAATTTGCGTAAAAATTCATCATCCCGTTACAGTACCCCCTCAGTGTTACTAATTACATTAATTATTCTGAAAACAACCTAACCTAAAAAAAAACTTAAGCAAAAATCTGAATCTACTTAAAAAGATTATTCCTTTTTTCCCAGTTTTCCTTCTCGAAACTCTTCCAATTTTTTTTTCAACTCTTTCAAGGTACTATTTAACGCAACTCCTAACTCCTCTCTGTGACATTTATGTCTAATGCTCCATTCTTTGCCTTTAACTGCTCTTCCATTTCCGAGAGTTTGTGCTAACTCTGTTTTCTGTCCTAGC